AGTTATTTTTGAATCATGGGATTCATTCATCGTTGAGCCAGCGTCAACGATGCTGCTGCAAACAACAAGATGTGGCTTGTTTGACGAGTTCGAGTTCCAGTCCCACCTTGATCGAGGAGAGACACGTGCCCTTGCTGTTGGCTGCGGTGCCCACGGTGGCCACGCCATCGCGTTGGAAGAGCGTCAGGGCAGTTGTGCTGCCAGCTGTACTTTATCTCCTGATGTCCAGCCTCCTCCGACACCGACACGATGGGACATACACTCTAGGTGCGGGAGGTGCAAACCCCAGCTTTGCAATTGCGCTGCAGGTATCGTAGCTCAATCGGGGGAGGACGATCCTACGGCAGGGTAAGTAGCTTGGCAAGCCTGGAGATGAGATGGGCGGTGGGCCAAACCACCACGCGCACTGCCACGCACTTTGACATGGCACACGGAGATTTGCTCGGCATGATGTACGTAGCCCCTCGGTGATCATTATCTGATCCACGGGGCATCCTCCCGAGAAGTTTGTCAAGTAACGTTGAAACCAAGTAACGTTTCGAGACCGAGAGCGCAATCTCGGAACCCTTCCTCCGCCCGTCCGCAAAAACAACTCTTGTAAAGACGTAAATACATCGCTTCGGGTTATTTTGAATGTTAGCTGGAAGGGGGCATTCTTTCTAATGTTATGAATGAAGTGCGAAGAAGTAAAACGGACAATCGGTGTCTTCGAACCAGTAGTATTCTAGTGTACACCGGTCGCCCCGGTGGTGAAGTGGGTAGTCTCGCAGCCTGGGAAGGGACAGCATGGGTTCGAATCCCGATAGAGTGAGTTTTTTCTCGCTATTTAAATCCTGGTCTCCGTTGGGAGCGACGCGCTGCAAAGAAAGCTCGTTGTTGGTAAATTTGATCGACCTCATAATAAGTCGCGAGGGAAGGGATTGCTGTAACCTTTTCTCGCGATAAAAATATCTCAGGCAGGAACGGCAGAAGTGGGTCCAACCCCCCCCCTCCCATGTGATCCCGGTTGGGTCGTCTAGCTGAGAGAAGCGGAGGATAGGGGCCAGAGGGGCAGGCGACAGATTCCAAAAAAAAAAGTCTACGCGGCAAAACATATGATATGTATGGTAGAAAGCAGTCTACGCAGCAAATTGATGAAGCAAACATAGAGGATAAAAGAATCCAATCCGTGCTTTGGGTCTAGGGTAAGGGTTAGGGATAGGGTCTGCGTGCCCCCTCCCCATTATTTTTCTCGATACTCTCAAAATCCTGCGTAGGCGGTCCGTTCGAGCAAAATAACTGAAAAATGCACCGAATCACCTTCAAGCAGATATCTAGTCTACAATATGTGAACCACACCTGGTATGCATACCTCGGAGAGCAGGGAAGAGGCAGGGAACGAGAGGATAAATTAACACCTATCTATGCATAGATACTCTAGGTGCGAGTTCTTACAGGAAGAGCGAGCGTGCGGGTGGATTAAGGAGAAATAAATACACGCACAAAAAGACTACCCATTCGAGATATAGACTACCCACAGTCGAACGGGATGTGGTGGAGTCTTTTCAGTAAGTGGAGGAAAACCGGCTGGGTACTGGACTTATTTCGAGTCTTTATAAGTCTATACACTGATGATTTATCAGTGATGCCAGCTGGTGCCAAGCAAGCACAAAAACATCTGTATAGGTAAATCTACATTTTACAATACATCCCCTGTAGTTCTCTACTGGGTCAACGACAAAATATCGGGGAGAATCCCTCCGTAGTGTCGTGTACTGTAAGATGTAACCTTGGATCATACCGTCACAGCTTCTTGTTGTGTGTCTTTATTATTAGCATCGACCGCGCTAACCGGCTGACCAATGAAAAGACGTCAGTCTTAGTGCGGTTGAAAACACAAAACACTTCTATCTACCATGAACTGGGACCCCGTGAGGGGGCAGCATGGGGGAGGCTAAACTATCCTTCGGATTAAAAACAGAAACAGCAGCAACAGACGAAAAATGCACGCGTCTACCAAGGCTATTACCTAGTACTCGAGTTCGTTTAGGAGTACTTTCACCAGTGTCCTCCTTGTTTTCGCTACCATCATTCTGATCCTCATTTCGACAAGAAGAATCTCTGGGCAGTTCTTCCCTAGCCCTACGTTTCTTGTTGTGGGGAAGGTCATCTGGCTCAAACCCTTTGCTCTCTTCCACTCCTCCATGTTTTTCTGCTCCATCGTCGTCATCCTCCTTTCTCCCCTTTCCCTTTCCTTCGTCTTCGTCACTCCCAAAAGAATTACCCTCATTACTATCGTTGTCGCAGAGATCCCAACCGATTGGCCCTGGTGGAAGTTGGTCGATCAGTAGCCCATGACGTTTGAACACATCGCGAGTTCGCATCGACAGAAAACGAGCTAGCTCGAAGGTAAACCGTCTCCGAATCCTGTTAGTATGAAAAGCTTTCAGGCGAACTAAGGCCCTCTCGTCGTCAAAATTTTCCCGGCAAAAAGCTTCGTGCGCCAAGTGGTTGGCGATAGCAACGATGAGTCGATTGGTGCCTTTGCCAAGACCACCATTCGTTGAAAAAGCAGCAGTAAGGAGGGTAGATCTAGACGGGTTGAAAGTTCCCGCATAGTGATTTGCCTTACTTGCAGCTCGATCTTCGAGGGCTGATCCTGGCTTAAGGATCGACTTGTCGATGCTTCGACCTGCTGATGGGTTGACGATTGTTACGTCGATCAGAATGGACTTGGTGCAGAGGTCCTCTTCCTTCTCTCCTGCGTGTAATCCTGGGGGGATTACCAAATCCATCTTGTATAGCCCCTTTCCCCTACCAGTGCCTGTGGTAAAAGGGGAAGAATCCTCAACGGCGATGGGCATATGGCACTCGCGCAGTGTCTTGAGGACCACTCGAACCATCCTGTTATGGAGGAAGGTTGAGGCGCCGGTCTTGGTGCAGACGAGGGAGTGGGCTCGGCTCAAGCGGTCCTTGCATGGTAACAATGCACCTGCACCACAAAGTTTGCCTGTGTTGCAGTCTGCTCGATCGTGACTCCCCAGTACACGACCGATTGACTCTCGATATAGATCAGGCAGCATTTTTTCATCTGCTGACAACCCTTGCGTTGTCAACCACGACAAAACTCCCTTGCCTTTCGCTTCCTCCAAGCGGATCAACGCCCTCTTCTTTGGCGTTTCCTCGCCTACTACTTTCTGCAAGTCTGTCTCCACCATGTGGCGCACTGCTGCATGAAGAGGTTTCGAAAGGAGAGCTTGGGCTCCAAAGACTTGGTAGTGTTGACCAAATTCATTTCGGCTGAAGGTAGACGGTGGTTGATGTTCTACGTCAGGGTTTCCATCTTCACGGGGTTTTCCCGCCTTCCCTGCTTCCAACAAGTAAACTCCTTTGAGGGCGGGGGTTAACTCATCACTTGTGGCAAGTTTAGCCCATGACTGCCCAACAGCTTTTTCAAGCTTGTCTTTGGTGATGATTTCCTCTAGCTTCTTCAGCGAGTCAATCAGAGCCAATCCTGTCGGTAGCTGGGCAAGCCGGGGTAGACATTGCTCAACTGTGTATCCTGTCGATGCTTGCACTGACTTGGAGAACACCAGCGCTTGCCCTGCCACAAAAGCCGATTCTCGAATGAGAACATTGCTCGTGATTCCTAGTCCTCCTTCTCGCATGGGTAGGTGCACCTGCGCCCGAGCTGTCCCTTTGAAGAAATCTACCTCCTCGCTCTTCGTCGGGTCTGCGCGTACCTCTTTGACCGTTGGTATTCTCATGCTGTCGGCCATCTTGCCAAGGACGATCTTACTCATTGCCCACATCATCATGTTGTCATGTATTTTTGCGGCAGAGTTGGTGATAGACGGTGCAATCGTCCTCAGCAGATGGAACAAACGTGGCACACCAGATAAACGCAGCAGTTGATAGCTGGCTTGAGGGTCGTCAAGCGTTGCTAGGCGGAGTATCAATTCCGCCGGGTCACCACGGGCGATTTTGGAAACGAAATTCCTCTGGAACTCCTCTGTTCCTGTCTCTTATACACATCTAGATGTGTATAAGAGACAGATCTTACACAGTGCCCACATCATCCTGTTGTCATGTATTTTTGCGGCAGAGTTGGTGATAGACGGTGCAATCGTCCTCAGCAGATGGAACAAACGTGGCACACCAGATAAACGCAGCAGTTGATAGCTGGCTTGAGGGTCGTCAAGCGTTGCTAGGCGGAGTATCAATTCCGCCGGGTCACCACGGGCGATTTTGGAAACGAAATTCCTCTGGAACTCCTCTGTTCCTACTGGGATCCCGACAACTGGCATGCCACCTTCAGCAACTGACAGACCAATTTTCGTCAATTGTTGCTGTTCGTCGTTTGTCAAAGAGGACATGCAAAGACCTTCCGGGAAAAGCACTTTGGATTTCGGGAGACTGAGCTCAATCCCTTTTTGGGAGAGACGTTCCTGAATCCAATTCGTTACAGTGGATATGGCCTGCATGTTCCTAGCCAAACCTGGTGGAAGATGTGCTTGGAGGTCGTCGACGTATCCGATGAGTTTCACTCCTGGCACTGGTGGCTTGTTGTTGAACTCTTTCATGATATCAAGAAGTCCTACACAGAAGCCAAACCCTCCCAAATTGCAGCCTTGTTGAACTCCGCGCTGTGAAAGAACAACCTCGATCGAACCATCTTCCATTTTGAACAGAAGTTTCGCCTTGGTTCGAGCGTAGATGTTCCCGAAGTACTTCACCAAGTGTGGCGTATGAGTGGCCACTGCTGGCAAGATGGAAGATCTGCGCATGCTGTTGTAAGCGTTTTTCCCATCAAAGGAGAGAATGGTGCTGCCTTGCTGGTGGCTGAGGGCTGCTGTGGAAGCCACTATTTCAACTCCTCCTGGAACACCACCTCCGAACTGATTTGCTGCTTCGAAGATGTTCGCAATTCCTCCCTTGTACTGGCGGCAGAAGCTGCCGCTGATGATGCGACGCAAAACCCCCCCAACTGCAATCGGCCGTTTTTTCTCTCCCAGCGCTGAAAGGTTGGCACTGGTGTGGAGGTTCCAAAAGAAATCCGGAAGCTCGTCTCCGTAGTAGAAGACTTTAAAGCTGAAGTCCGCCAAGGTTTCAGTAAAAAAATCACTCATCCCACCAGCTTGGAGATACGAAAAACGAAGACCATCAGGCCCCGGAGCACTCTGAGGGTTGGCTTTCTTTACCGTCTGCTTGATGAACTTGATTTCGAATGGTTCATCAGCTTCGGCGACGGAGTCGATCTTGTGCGTTTTTATACGATCTCCCGCAACTTTGATGCTGGAATCCCACGCAGTAGCAATATCGTCAGGATCTTCGTTAGGGTGTAGGTTGCGAAGATGCTCCAGCGTGTCGTTGTTGCGCGGTGAAGGTGCTGGGGAAATTAAGGCACTGGCAGCTTTAGTGATGCCTCCGCTTTCGTGCGCAAGTCTTGTGGCTCTTCTTTGGCGATTGTCTTCAGTATCCGCATAATACTGAAGTCGACGATTCTTCTCGTACATCATGAGCCAGGCGATAGGTTCACTCAGATCACCATTTGCAAAGCGGTTAAATCGGGATACCCTGTTCATCCTTCCATCAGTCGATCCATGCAATGCTGGGGTAAGATGAAGCAACTTTGTTGCTCGGACAAGTTGGAGTTGTCTTTCAACACGTGCTACTTCATATCTTTCCGCTGCAAGAGGAGACAGATCTGAGGTATCTGACTTCTGCTGATCTATGTGTACAGCTCCAAGTGCTTGCACGAAGAGGATGACGACATGTTGGAAGTGTTTGCAAAATACTTTCGCCAGTTGCGGATCGATGTGTTTGACTGTCGAAAAAATTGACGTTTCAAGAGTATCTTGTCGAACCTGATCCAGGGCACTGCTGACGTCGTCGAGGTCCCATGGTAATAGGAGTTGCCGCCTGTCGTCATCATCCTCTTGCGGTGGCTGCAACGACCCAGAGAGAGATGGAGACGATGTAGTACCTGGTTCGCAACAATGCTTGGTGCGTGGAGAGAAAAGGTCGCCGCATGTGCCACATGCGGCGTAACCAGGTGCTTCTTGTTGTGTGTGTATGCGGAATGCGGGATATTTTCTGCCTCTTCTGGACGAACGGTCAATTCCTGCGCTCTGTCGACCACAGTCGCCACCGGGAACGATCTTAAGTCGCCATGTTCCGGACGTGGGTCGATCGCGCTGAAGAGAGTTAAGAAGGGGAGGAGATGAGGGCTAAGCGTTTCTAGTGGGGAAATCACGCTGGGGGAGTCGTTGAGAGAGACAAAAGAAGGACACCACCTGCGGTGCCCACGCCTTCCCCGGGCAAGCGGTCGGCATGCTCGGTGATGCCTGCTGCACCCGTGTAGTGTGCGCAGGTCGCTAAACAAGACGACACGATAGATAGACGTAGGCGGATGCAAGACTCCTTACCGGTGTCTTTGTGGGACCGACCGAAATCAAGTGGAAGCGGTTTCGAAAAAAACACATACAACGGCAAGCGCGGAGAGACGTGGTGCATCCTGCACTTGCCAGGTGCCGCTGTGTTTCCTCACCCAAATCCTACGGTGAACAACACGAGAGATGCTTTACGCAACCACGCGCCAAACCGCCCCGACCAAGCAACAAGAAAAGACAGGTGGCGAGACACGTGAGGCATGTCAGTGTCGTATCGGCCAAAACCAATCAAGGGTAATGGGTTGTGTATTTTTTTGTTTGTCCTTTGGAAGAATGGACCGCCGTCACCGCCCCACTTAGACGCTCCGAAAGGAAAGGAACGCGCATCGGATTCCCCGTCGAGCCCGAAGTTCCCGACGATGCGGTCGTGCACATGCGTGCCCCACCCGCCACCAATCAGCGACCCTCTCCTCACAATGCCACGGTTAACAGAAGAGCAAAAATATAGCGGAGATTAACGCGCAAGAAGGGAAGCCTTCCTCTTCGTGGTGGCCGAAACAAACTATTATTATTCGAGCTATTTTGCACCTAATCCCCAGGACTGGACTACTCTATTTGGAGAGGATGCTTTCCTCCTCGGGCGACAACTGGAGAAGAGCCGCCGCGACCCTTCGATCTTCGGCATTTAGCACGTTAAACGTAGAGCACGCATTCACCTGGACACGGTTTGGTACAGGGAAGAGCGAAAAACAGAAAATACCCAATACTGTTGGTGTTTGCATAAACAGCTGCCAGGGTGCGATGATGTAACAGAAAATTACAAGGTAAAGGCACAGCATTTTCAAGCGCAAGCACCGAAACTGAAAGGGTTGTCCGCCTCAAGCTGCCGGCTCAAACCAACGCTCACGTGCAACAAGAAGCACACGGGCACTTTGTCGTGTACACTAACATATCAACAGCTTCAAGATGTAATTCCATCCTTTACGTTACGCACTGACCGTGTCCATCTGTTCCACGCGGATCCCCTTTGACGCGAGGTGCTTCACCAGCACCGGGTCGAGCCTAGCCGTCATTCTCTCCCCCACGCCTACAATTATCAGATCTGGAGGGAAACGATGGAGTGTGCCAAAGACGAATGGGACGTACAGCTCACCAGTTTTCAGCCATTACTCAAAGCGAGGACGCAGCAGAACGCGGGAATTCCACGCGGTTTTCCTGAAACGCATCTGGGCAGTGTTCTTACGTATGCGAACCTACGTACGCGCTCTACACTAGCCAACCATATTTATCCGCGCTGAGAAAACTTCCAGTCTCACAAGCGAAAACTGAGTGTGATGGACGGGTGAGAGATCCGACATCCAAAATAAGGTGCAAACCAACAAATGACACCGGGACTCATTCGTGTGGTTACTACAAGTCTTGGAAGGGGCCCAGAACCCACCAAAACCATACAGATCTTCATTTGCTGGAGCTTTTCGCTTAGTGTATGCATACCGCATTATTACCTATCTTCGGGATCACGAGCTCCACGATGCGGAGGCTCTCAACCGTTATGTCCGACGGCCGCTTTGGCTGCCACAGGACGAACGAGTTAGGCATGCAGATCATCGAACCCCTCACGTCCACGCCGTCTCCAAGCTGAAACCCATGCGGGTCATACCTGCGATTCGCAGGCCATTTACAAAAGAATGAAAACCCGCCAGGGTGGCACAGGCAGAGAAGAGGAGAGATGACAGTACCCCCCTGGCCATCGGCTTTGGCTTGCAAAGTCTATACCTCTGCGGTGAGGGGCCCGGGGAAACCGCACAACCGTTCTGCCCAAAGGGACCAATCGAACACCTGCCGCTACACGGCGGTGTGCGCGTGATTGCTGATTGCCTCGTGGCACTAAGTCCCTACCAGAAGACGAGAGGAAACAACGTATGATCGCAAGGCAGCTTGCTGTTGCCCGCCAGACAGACATGTTAAAGAGGTAGAAATCCCGAAACTGGGAACGCCGATCTAGGCGGCTCGGAACACGCACTGATTGTGTCGAATGAATCGCTCCGTGAAATGCAGCCAACAGCGGCGCGGGGAACATGTTCTTGCTACCACCCACGCGTTGATCACGTAGATCCCAAAAACCGACACCTCTTTCTCCTTCAACCCGCTCTTGTACAGCTCCCTCTCTCTTACCCCCCGATGAGGACTTTCTTTCTCGAATCCGGATCGTCCTCCATGAGGTCGAACCCTTTGCCCAGAGCAGTGTTTCCAGCGTTGACCGGTTTCTGTCTTCGACCAAAACCCTTTATCGTGCCGGGGGGGCCAGCTGTATCGCTCCCCTTGCCGCCGCGGGCAGAGCTCATGCCGCGCCTGCTGGACAACCGCAAGGGATGGGCGGGACCAAGGAGTTAAGTGCAATGGGAGCTCTGTGCTGTAGCATTATCAATAGCATATCGTAAATAAAGGTCTTGAGTACTTGGTCCTCACACGGGGGTGGGGGTGTACTCATAGTCGTGCATGCCGTAGTCGTTAGACCATTGACCTCGCATCCCTACAAAGCCNTTCGGCATCTTGTGCTTACTTCCTTGCGTACGGATGACAGCTGCGTATGACTTAATTTATTTTCTGGTGCGTTAACTTCTAGAGAGAGTTGTAAGCACTGTGTAACTGCCTCGAGGGTGGTTGACCGTTGATACACAACGTGGTGCGATCATCCCCCTTGCGTGGAGTAAGGGATCTCCACCCTGCACAACATGATCTACTCCACCACCATTATGGTTACCGAAAAAAAAGAAAGAGGTAAAAAAAAAAAAACGGTAACCTGGTTGCCGAGCTCACGGAGGGA